CTTCCAAGGGAAGTGGTGCTGGCCCCTACCCTGGGGGTCTTTAAGAAGAGGCTGGATGCCCACCTAGCTGGACTCGTTTGAGTCCCATTTCTCTTTTTGGGGTTTTTGTTGTTCTCCCGCCCTGGCGGGGGGTCGGGCTAGAAGATCTACTAGGTCCCTTCCGACCCTTAATCTATGAATCTATGAATCTATGAATCTATGAATCCTTTGACTTACCATGGAAGGCATCTATATAGCACAGGAAAGTCATAGAAAGTATATTTACTGGCTACAGAAAAGACAAACCACAGAATGGCAAGGTCTGGGGAGGGGAAGACTCGGTATAATTAACATTTATGATTAATGTTGTTCGAGATAAACAGGTTTCCAACAGGCTTTCTTCAGAAAGTAGAAATTGCACTCAGTCAAAGCCGACAAGAAGGATCATAAGCTAATTCAGATAAAATGCAAGCTAGTATTATGAGGTAATCTGAATAGTAAATAGCCAAAGGCAATTTTAAAAAGGCAATACATACCTACTCACACACCAGATAACAGGAATTTACTGAAGGACATTAGAGACTTTTGTAGGAATCCTTACTCCTCTATCAGCATGTGTACACTCCTGCCTTTATTTCCCTGGTGAAGAGTCTTCCCCAAGGAATGATCTCACCCACTGGACAAGTCAAAAGTCCTAAGACACAGAGAAAAGCAAAATAGAGCACCATCTTTTCCCCTTACAGATCTGCAGCCACAGAGTTCTTTCTTGTCTATTATGGAGACTTTCCACTTAAGAGTCTTAGAAAAAATAGGGTTGGAAGGGACCTCAGGAGGTCAACTAGTCCAACCCCCTGCTCAAAGCAGGACCATCCCCAACTAGATCATCCAGTCAAGACTTTGTCTAGCTTGGTCTTAAAAACCTCTAATCTGCACATTATAGGAATTGATATGCTCTTTATAGCCCACCCCCGTTTACCTACTGGACAACAGACTAAGGGTGCAAACAAGTGCTCATCTCACCCAGGTCTAGGTTTAGGTGGTTTACTTTAAGCTACCTAGAGAGGTAGGTGCAGCCATTTGCTGCTGCCAGGAGCAGTGCAGGGAGCCCAAGATAAACATGGGATAGGCGGAGTGGGTGGTAGGATTGGAGGGAACTGGCAGGTCCAGGTGTGGGAAAAGGGTTATCCAGGTGGGAGAGGGTTTGAGGGGTAGGAATACCACTACTCTGGGGCTGGGGCAAGCGGCTGGGCTCTCTCAGCTCTGGGGCTGTGCTAAGAACATATGCAGACGTTTGCAAGGTCAGGCTAACCCCACCCTAGACTAGGTTAACCCTTTCTCAGTGTAAGCTAGTGCACCTCCTGAGATGCACTAACTTAGATCAGGCATGCAATTTTTTGGCCACTTTAAACCCTCTGAACACCTGCAAGAGTATATCAAGAGTCAAGCCATCCATGGCCCTCCATGGGCTACAATGTTCTTCTCAATGCTTGACATTGCAGGGTTTTCTGCATCACTGGGCATCAGCTTATAGCAGTCCAAGCACTTTCTTGATCCCCAGCTCAAGCCTGGAATCCTGTACTACAAAGTGTCCTACTTCCTAATTTAGCTTTTTTCTACTGATTCAGTCCTCCAAACGCTGTCCCCAGCATCTGTTTAAAGGGAGCTCTTGCCTAGTTGTCACAGCAACTACTGTTCTTCAGCAGGTTTCTTCCAAAGCATCCTGAAACAGTTTTTCCTGATGATTCTCTAGTTCCCTTTAAGCAAATCATGATAGTTCAGTCCCTAGAATAGCAGTATAAAAATGCAAAACCAAAGACACTTTGTAGATCTCTCCCCTAGTTCAACAAGTTTATTTTTATATCCTTCTTGTCCCTTCCTACTAGGCCTTCCAACTAGTCATGTACCATGAGTAACAGGATTGCAGTGCATCACAGGAAATATAGTCTTGCCAGGGATCCAAGTCCGTAGGGAGGAGTGAGGGCATGAAGTAATCAAACTACATCTCCCAGGAGGCAACATGGCACCTGAGGCAGATCCACTTTAATACTGAGATGAGTCAAAGAAAGAAAGAAAGAAATTTCTAAATTGATATGCTTGGTGCAACTTTGATATTTTGACTGTCACCTTGATTCTAGAGGAATGTTGAAATACTAGGAATTAGTCATGTTGAAATACAGAGAATTGGAAAAATCCTGAATTTTTGCTACTCTGTTAAGGATACAGTACGAGACCTTGATTAATATATCAGGATAAAGTAATATAGCTTCTGGAAGGGAACAATATGCCTCCCCAATCTATGAAAATTCTTTTAGCATATCAGAAAAATAGCAGATACAAGATTTATTTGCATCTAAAAGTCTTTGATCAAAGTTTCTCACAGCAGGCTACTTAAGGAAACAAAGTAGTTCTTGGTCAAGGGTTGAAGTTCAGTTATAGATAGGAATATGGCCAAGAAGCAGAAAACAGAGATTAGAAATAAACTGTCACTTTTCAGCATAGCATGATGTTAACCATGGGATACCACAACTATAATCCATATTGTTTAACTGATTAATTACCTGAAAAGATCAGGAGCAATAAAATGGCAGAATTTGCATATGATGCAAAATTGGTTCAGTGAAGACTTGAAATCTAGTGAAGACTTCAGACTGATCTACTAAATTGAAGAGAAAAAATTTTAACATGAATTTTTCAGTACTGACCAATGCAAAATAATTCCACTTGGAAAAAAATCATCTGAACTTCTTATAGCCATTTCTGGATTTTAAAATAACTGTATTAACTCAGGGAAAAAAAGATATGTGCATGTGGACAGTTCATTCTGCAGTGGTGGTACACAAGCAAATAAATGCTAGATACTTTAAGGGGGGAACAAAGTAGTACTGCAAATATAATGGCCCCCTACAAAACAGTGGTATGCCCTCATATATAATACTATATTCATTCTGTTCGCTCAATCTGAAAAAAGGCAAAAGCAGAAATAGAAATAGACACAAAGAGTGAAAGTAATAAAAAAAATTGGGAAAACTTCCATGTAGAGAGAGACTTGGTGGACCGTTACTTTCATTCAGAGACAAAATGAACAAGACAGGATACAATACAGATATGCAGAATAATGAAGAAAATATAATGAAGATAAATATAATGCTCTTAATCTCTTTTCTAGAAATGGGATAAAAGAGGGCATCTGTAACAGGGAACTCTTGCCTTGTTACTGGAAGAAGGCTGTGGGGCAAACAGAACCTGCAAAGACCATTTTAAGATCAGAGTTTTTGTGACTCAAAAAGCTGAGGGCTTGAGAGGCAAATACAGCTGGAAGGACAGACAAAAATGCTACCAGGAAGAAGCTCTGGGTGGCAAGCTGCCCAAGGGAAAAGAGACAAGAGCCCTGTAATCACCAGTAGCCCTGCCATAGGTGTATTGAACTAAAGCAGAGATTACAGCCCAAGGGAAGGCAGCTGGCAGGCCTGAAGGGATTAATAAAAAATCCCTGTGCTCAGGAAACTTAGGAAAGGAGCTTGCCCTCATCCCTGAGGGGCTCTAGCTCTGACTGGGAAAGATGAAAATCTTCTAGGCAAGCCACTGTGAAATCTGGAGACACAATAAGGGGAGCCCTGGTGTCTGAGGGGCAAAGAGTCCCTTGTCCCCCCCTTCCTGACTGGGTTGGCCCAGGATGAAGTTTTATTTTAAGTTGTCTGTTGTTTTATGAAGGCCCAGAAAGGCAGTACTTCTCATTGTGCTTAGGCTAGTAGAACTGGAAGACTGGGAGTGGCTGTGAGAGGAGGCTTTCAGGCCAAATGGCAAGTGCCTTAAAAGCACCCTGTGAGGATTGCCCCATTTTTAGGCCTGAGGCTCAGAGACAAGGTAGTGCTATGGGGAATGAGATGGCTGAGAGACTTGAACTCCTTTGAGGCCAGAGAGTCCAGAGCCAAGACTGTGGGGCTTAAAGCCTCAGCAGAGAGGCTGGTGAGGAGAAGCTGAGGCTGAAATAAGGAGGACTAGGGCTAAGGGTAGTAGCCAGAATAAGTAGGCCAAGACTGAGAGGTCAAGGCCTAGACAGACACAAAGGGCACATATACACATGATGGACCTCTGCTCCAATGCATGGTAATTACCATGCATTGAAGCAGTCTCAATTAATTAGCACACTCCAGCAGCCCCTGCATTACATGTATTCAAAATCCTCATGTTTCAAAATGGTAGCAGGGATGTTTTTAACTAAAACTTGTCAAATGAGCCTTACTTAAGTGCTCCCCCCCCCTGCTTTTTGAAGCACAGGACATTGAATATACACAATGCTGCAAGTACTTTAATTAGAGTGGCTCTCAGAACCTCTCTAATTAAAGCATTCCCCCATTCCCAAGCACATGTATAGATACCTAAAGGCTCAAATAAATAATCTCAGCAGACTGAGACCTGTGAGGCTTGAGTGCAGCTATGTGGGCAACAGGAAGCTGCTATTAAAGCCTCTGGGGCAATTTACAGCTAGTCAGTTCATAGCTGGATCTTGTCAGGGCGAGTGGAGTTTGCTATTCTAGTTCAATACACCCAGAACAAGGCTGTACTAAAAGACTACCACTTTAGGGCTCAGGATGCTTCCTGTAGGAGTAGTTATCCCGTTAATGTGTGTCAGGTGAGACGCTGGGTAGTAGTACAGAGGAGCCGGATAGGTCAGGATAGTTGGAGGTACTGATACTGCCTGTCAGGACTAGTCCTGCCACAGCATATTACGTGGATCGTGTAAAATGGGGCAAAAGGGGGCATCATCTATAATTCTGTTAAGCATTGGTTATATGAATAAGCAATAGCGTCATGGCAAATAGTAGTAGGCGACCATCGATCCTCTGGATCATGGTGTACCCGTAAGAGGTCTAATCAGATATCTGATGCATCCATTTGTGGCTGATGAGCCCAACTTGAGTGACACAGCTTGTTATAAGTTTCACAGCTCCATATGGTGTCTAAGCTGGAGTCCAAATCTACAGCATGCAGATAGGAGAGTTTATAAAAATAATTGTGGTAGGAGCAGCTCATTCCACTATTATCCTAAGGTTTTTCAAACCTTCCTTTGAGTATGTGGATACTAAACTACATCCATTAATTATCTGATCTAATTTAGTATATTTATAATTCTTCTAAATTTAGATCTTAAAATTCTTGACCCAAAATTAATTTCCCATAGAAATCCCAAAGGAAAAGGAGCTTTCCCTGAGGGGGAGCCAAAGCCTTACCTCAGGTGTGGAGGAAGGATGTCAAGCACATTTATACCCTCACTTTTGCTACAGCAGCCAGGTGAGGAGTGATGGGATAAGGGCTCTGATTTTTGGTCTTTCATATTGGTATTCTTTCAAGTACTGAAATCTTGATAACCTAAAACAAAAGGCATAAACAGCTGGATTTGTTTAAATCATTCACTTCAAACACCCACACACTGATATAATTTAGAGAGAATTGAACTGGCTAGGAATTTCCATGTAATCTCTAGCATACTCTCTCCCCTCCACCCCTTGTTAAGGATTTATCATCCATTTGAATCAATTCAGCTGTTAAAAGCAAGTTGGGGAAGAGAATGAAGCATAACATTTAATGGAAATCAATTTAATAAAATACTTGATTTTTTGCAAAACATCAAGAGGCAAAACTAGAATGAATTCAGTGTAAATCATATCGTCCAAAATATTGGATGGGAT